CAGGCGTCGTCGTCAGAACCGGTCAACGGCTCAACGCTGAAAATGAGGCCGCTAACCAGCCCCATCGGCGCCATTGGTCTTCTCTTCTAATCTATCAATCCTGGGTCAAATCAGCAAGGTTCACATCCACATCCCAAACCCCACGTCGCTCGCCTCGAATCAACACCCTCCCTCCCTGTTTCGTCGGTCTGCGGAATAGTTTCCCCGCCAAAGGCAGTCGAGACGGGACGGAGCGTCTATCCACGGTCTAAGCCAGACGCAAGTCGCTTTTCTGACACGTCTCAAAAAATTGTCTATTTCATATGCTAATCATTGCAGACTCCGAGAGGCTCCAGGTCCCGTCTGCCCGTCCGTTGCAATACCTGGCAGCAACAAGCTTGCGCCAAGCCCCTGGCTCAATCCGTTCATCAGAACTTCCACGGGCCCGCCGTCGCCAATCATCCAACAACGTGCTCCCCAGACCGCCTCAGAGCGGCCCAATCCACAGACGACATCCCACTCGGTCACATCTGACTTGATCTTATCTTCAAGGCCAGCAGCAACTCAGTCAACCCCAGCGGCCCCTCATGCCTGTTGCTTCTTCTGCCCGTAGGCCGCGAAAGTCACTGACCAAGACTTGTTGGATGCGTCTGCATGCGATGCAGTGTGCTACATCTCTGGGACCCGCGCGAATCTGTGTCATCGGTCAAATGGACCGGGCACAAGATCCTTCTGCAGACTATCCACAACGACGGCTCACTCAGTCTGATGTATCGTCTCTAAATCTATCACCCGCCGACTCGCCCTTGATTCTTGACAATATGGCGTGCTTCTGGCGTCTTGACAAGCTGAGGCGCGAAAGCCACCCCACGGCGTCATAGCATCGCCCGGGCCGGTTCATTTCCCTCTCATCGACTTTTACCTCGAGTCTTACCGTGTCGTGGACTCTTTCTTTTTGTTTGACTGACAGCTAATCACATTTCAAAGGCTGCATTGCTTTTCCTCCGTAGGTTCGAATCCATGCGTTCCGAACTTGCTCAACCCCTGCGTCGTGCAGGCCTCATTCGTTCCTGGATAGACATTCGCAATATTCAACAGGGCTCACGAGTTGGGAAACAAAACCTAGTCTACTAGCTTGGAGGCTCTGCCGGAAACCGTGTCTCCTTCCCCGGACTGCCGGCATGGCGGAGCTGATTCAATGCCGCCACCGTTCCTGAATCTCACTGCCCCTGGCGATCGTTCTGAAACCTGGGGGCACACCTTGCACTCACCGCAAATACGTCAAATTGAGCCTTTGCCGAATCCATGCTCTCGGTGACGAAGGCGTCATGTCGTGGAACTCTCCATCCCAATTATACGACCACATGTGCCGGCAACCGAAGACTCGACTTGACTCCTTTTCCCCTTGCCCCGTTCCACACAGGACGATCACTCGACTCGGAGGGGCCGCACAGGGCTGCATTGACCTCTTTGGATCATCCAAGGAGAGGCCGGGGATCCGCCATGTGGTCGCGCTCCGGAGCCCACACCGCCGCCTCGTTTTCCATTCTGGACGTTTCATTCCCAGGAACCAGCTCACCGGGCGCGAGATCCTTGAACCCAGATGAGCTGGGTCGGTGACATCTCAAATGCCATGTTACTCGAATTAGATTTGTTCGCTTTTGATATAGCTACTCCCAATCCCGGGGACCTCTGAACATTCATCGCAGGCATTGTTCAAGGTTGAGAAACCCTCAGAACGACCTGGTCCTGGACTGTGACCGAGACAAAAAGCAATTATGTTTTACGATTTTCGGTCTCGGCGGCAGGCACCTGGGCTCATTGTCGCGCCACGTGTGTGATCCCAAGACGGGCCAGTCGGGTCACGTCCGGGTCACCACGTTGATGTCTTCGTGCTAGGCCATTGGGCATGTTTGTAGATTGCAGTTGTAAACCACCTCGTAGTTCCAGCTGGCAGGTGCTAATAAGCTATGTTGCTGTCCGTTGATAGAGCCCCTGACAGCGATCTTGGATTCGTTCAAGGTGAGTTTGCTGTTGCGTTTGTGCCGTTCAGAAAACACGTGTTTGTACCAGTTCTTAGGGGCCCTTGCTCGTGAGACATGGCCCATTGCTTCGCGACTTTCTGGGCGATCTTCTTTTCGTATCACAAACTTTGTTTCAGAATCTTTGACGACGAGAGCTAATTGTTATTATGTCCCTCAGGTATTGAAACCGGTGTCATTCTGGTGCTCTTGAATGAGCTATCCTATCTCGTGAAGCGAAGTCCACAGTAATGTTATTGCGGCGGCCGTGATTGGGACGGAGGAGTGCTTCAAGCTCTATGACCGTTGAATCCAGGCCGGGTATAAGTAGGTAGGTACTCTGTTCCTCGCTTCTGAACAAATTTCCACAACAAATGAGGGAGGGTCTTTGAGGTTGCTGCAGCAGGTTCTACAGCTCTATGCAGTTACAAAACTAGAGTAATGAAGTCATTTTGTGAGTGCGTATGTTTCCCATACCCCGTAGCTCGCTCGGATTGACATTGTATTCGGCGCGAATACAGCACGGAAAGGAACGAAATTTTATGATGAGAAGCAGGGATGGGACAGCGTGGCTGGAGTGTTGGCGCCTGGGTCGGCTCTGACCACCGCAGGGGCGATAGTAAGACCTTCTTCATTATGCCTATCAAGATCAAAGAGAGATTGCAGATCTTCTATTGCGATACCACGGTCATTACGAACGACTGAGGCTTCCAATTTATACTTTTGAACGAGGGCTTCGGCCTTAGAACTGGTTTTACATTAGGAAAAGCTGCGATGGCGTTGAGGATTCTTGCCTGAGATTGTCCAGGAAGGGACCTACCAAGGCCTGCTTGTGTATAAAATAGCAGTTTGAACCATCGTATAATATTGCAGCAAAAATAAATTTGTTATGTACGCGCCGAGCAGCAGCGGTCATGGTGAGAGTTTGTTTCCCAACAGGTCTGCGCGCAGAAGTCATGCTAGATTGCATAAATCTGGTCTGGCTTGCTTGTATTTGAGTAGGTTACACTGAAGACCGAGCGGGAAGGAGAATGATGCTTCTATCAGCTTACCAAGGACTGGTCATGCATATGAGGGGCGCCACGTTCTAAAGTCATTTTGACGCGGAACCCAGTGTTCGAAAGCCCGGGCAAGAAAAATGCAAACCGGACAGATCATTCGTCTTTATAGCTGGTAGCAGTTTTTGTGAGGACTAGATGACTACCCTGTGATGGAGGTGTCGTGCCAGACGCCCAGCTTCTGTTTCGGGAGTTAGTCGTTGCTCGCGGGTGGGATGGTAAGATCAGTCTACTTCAGTTTCTTCAACTCTCTATCATCAAAAGATACAAACTATAAATTGGTGCCATAATCAGTGCCTCTGATGTCCTGACAGCAAGAAAGTCACGTATGTCAATGTCTCGCCGGGATCGTGGGCTGAGCCTTGTGACCGTAACCACCTAAGTTGGTGTGGGCAGCGTGAAACTCGAGATAGGTTTGGTCACCTAGAATGTTTCTCGAAAGCCAAGCCAAGCCGTTTTTGGCTGTTCTGTTGTCCATTAGGTATTTTGGCTCTAATAGTTAAGGAATAGGGCAACGTTTAAAACACGCATCAGATTCAAGATACTTCTCTTAGCTGTTGACGCATGTCATTTCTCAATCAAACATGCCAGCATATTGTGGAAAGAGTGTGACGACCTTTCGGATTTGTGCTGGGGTTCCCCAGCTTCGACGGCGAATGCAGGGAGAGGACTGTTTTTATAGACGTCCCAGGAATAGTCGAAACCATCTTTATTACGTCCTAGCTGGATGGAATGAAGTCGATATGCACCCATTGGTCTTTCCCTCTAAGTCTTGAGACATAAGACGCCCCTGGCAATACTTTCTCAGAGTCTCGTGAACTCATCAGCCTTTATACATGTATAGGTTGCTCTCATATCTACAGCCTATCCGTCCAGTCTTGCTTGCGACTTCATCTTCATACCGTGATGATGTATGGAAATGCTTCAAAATGAGCTTGAGGCATCAGCAAACTTGCTCCGCCTCCTGATCGCCTTTCCATACTTGAAGAACAAATACGGAAACACCGTCATTCCCGTAGCTAAGAAGCCTAGAAGTGACGATGCCCACTGGAATCCAAGACTCACATACATCTGGTTGCCAAAGAGGGGGAATGCAGCTATCGACCTCTCAGTTCTAACCTTTGAGTTCTTGGGGGGAGACGTACCTGCCGCAGTGCAACGAACGAAAGAGTTGGCCGCGAGCGCACTAGCAGCGTGTCTGGGATATGCTTCCACCTGTTCCCAGCCGTTAATCACTTTCCTTCTATGTTATCTCTCCCCTGGTGTTGTGCTACTTACGAGGAAGGTCCAGATTCCAGTGAAAAGAAGAATATTGCTGTAGCATAACATCGTATTAGACCAAACCGTTCACCAAGATGCGTAAACATCCGACGAAAAACTCACCCCGCCCCGAACAATGCTGTACCAATAATAGGAACTATCCAGTGTACCCAAGGATACATCGACCAGCCAAACATGAAAATACCCGCGGGCACAAGCACAGAGCCAAACATTGCGGGTGGAAGTCGGAACTCAGGCTCGCTGCTGTCCGCATTTTCACTTTGGCCTTTGTTCTTCAAGATGAGTCGCATTCTGACCCTAGACCAAACCGGATCAGTGGATAGGCCAAGCAACATACCGACCAGAATACCCAAAAAACTGAGCCCGATCTGGTACAAGTTAAAGTCGTAAGTCTCCCTGAATACCAGGGGGAAGGCACCGAAGAATAGATAGAGTATGCCAAGGAGCAATGCCGAGAAGAGGCAGAGAGATAGGCACATTGGCTCAAATACGAGGAGCTGGATGGGTCGCAAGAGTGAGAGTCCGACTGCCCGAAGCACGGATTTGGAATGCATTTCTGAAGCTGCTCTCCATCGGTCATCCCCGGTTTCTTTACGAAGTTTGCGAGCCTTGTTTCTCAAGAGTATGGGATCTATCGTGCAGTTTGTCAGTTGGGCCGCTTTCAAGAGCGAAAGTCAATCTTACGGTATGTCTCTGGAACCAGAAACACGATGCCCAACTCTAGCACGAAGGACCAGATTATCAGCACGTAAAACGTCCAGCGCCACCCAGTGTAGTAGTTGATGAACCCGCCGACCAAGGGTCCCAGGCTGGGTCCGATGAACGGACAGATCGAGAACAGAAGCATGGGCGCCTGCAGTTCATCGTTTGAAAACAAGTCGCGGACCGTCCCAGCAGACACAGCTTGGAACGCACTACCTGAAAAGCCGTCCAAGAAGCGGAGAACGACCAGTGTGACGATATCCTTCGCCGTCGCCTGAGGAATCAGGAAGAGAAGGTGGCATGTGGACGAGATGAGATAGATTGGCCTTCGCCCGTAGAACTCGCTCAGGGGACTGAACATCATCGGCCCTAACGCAAGGCCGAGGACGAACGTTGACAAACCTAGAGTCGATACGATTCTAGAGTTGTGAAACTCGGCTTCCAAGTTGGCGTATGTTGAAGTGTATATGGAACTCGCACAGGTACTTCTTCAATGTCAGCAGTCGCATAGAGCCATGGGGAACAAACTCATCATATATCTTACACGCAAAGCCCCATGACTGAAACCACTACGGTGATCAGCCATTTTCTCAGCTTGCCGTAACTTCTTGGACATAATGGGTCGTTATCGCCGTCGTCCCAATCGACCAGAAACTGGCCTTCTTCTGGTGACATATTGGCTTATGTGACTTGGTGAAGTAACGTTTTCGAAACATCTAGCACAGTAACTGTGTTTAGAATTCGCAAAAAGTGTTGATCCGACTCATCTGAGTTGCATTGTTTGCATGGTTTGGGGCACAATATGGCTCAATCGCGAAGTTGCCGGGTTTCGATTTCCTTGAATCAATCATGACGAGCATTCGCGCAGTTTTCCGTTACTCCGCGGCATATTTCCGCGCCAGTCACAACATAGAATTACTAAGCCATGTTCAGGTATGCAATCCTTGACGTAGATCGTTGTTCGGATGCGATGGCCGGCAAGAGAGGGCGCTAAAGCGGAGACGGAGACGGAGGTAAGAGCGGGAATGGGGAACGGAGATGGAGCGGACGTCACCCCTGCCAGTCCCAAGACCAGCTTCTTGTAAGTTCGCACCAAACACCATAAAAAGGGCACAATGTGTGAGTGGCTGATGAATTAAATCAAGGAACACTCTTCACACTGACCAAATTTCATCATATTTCATCATGGCACCTCTACACAAATACTTCTTCCCTGACAACGAGTCCTTCGCCTATGAAGCTCTTCGAGCTGCCAGCTATGCCTACTGCGGTGGCGCAGAGCTGGCTGAAGTTATTTCCATTTGCTCTCGCATTCAATCAAAAGACGAAGACAGCTGGCTGCGAGAATGGAAATTAGCCGGCGACCGCGCCGTTGAGACTGCAAAGACGAGCCTGGCCAAGAACAATCGACGCGGTGCACAGTCTGCGTTTCTACGCGCTTCGAACTATTACAGAACGGCAGAGTTCTACCGACGAGACAATGTATTTGAGGACAAGTTGTCCAAAGAGCTCATGAAATTGAGTACGGAGGCATTTTACTCCGCTACAGAACTCATGCCATACCGGACGGAGAAGGTCAAGATACCGTATGAAGGAACGACACTGCCGGCAACGATCATGCAACCGGACAAAAGCGACACGCCAATACCAACGATCATCTTCAACGGTGGCTTCGACTCTACCAGGGAAGAGGTCTTCTACATGAATGGTCAGGCGGCACTTGATCAAGGCTTCAACATCATTCTCTTCGATGGACCGGGACAAGGGGAGGCTTTGAGAGAGCAGCGTCTGTTCTTCAGAAATGACTGGGAGACGGTAATTACCTCGGTGGTCGACTTCGCCCTTGACCAGCCCATAGTCATCAAAGACAAGCTCTTCCTCATGGGTATCAGTATGGGAGGTTACCTTGTCGGACGAGCCCTATGCTTCGAGCATCGGTGCGCAGCTGCCATCGTCAACGACGGAGTGTACGACTTTGGCAGTGCTTTCCATAACCAAAACCCTGCCCTTGGCAGATTCTTGATCCAGAATGGCTGGGACGCCACTATAAACGCGCTCATGCGCCAGATGATGCGTTGGGATACGGGCTTCAAATGGGCTATTTCGAACGGAATGTGGGCTTTTGGCGTCCAGTCTCCGGTTGACGTGTTGCGCTGTGTGAAGGGATACACACTGGAGGGCTTGGTAAACAACATCAAGACACCGTTGCTAGTTTTGGATGCGACGGAGGACCATTTCTTGAAAGGACAACCGAAAGAGTTGTTCGACAGGCTGCTATGCAAAAAGGAATTCGAGCACTTTACGGAGGAAGAGGGGGCGACTGCGCATTGCCACATGGGGTCCCTATCGAGACTGAACCAGGCGATCTTCGACTATCTACTTCCGCGAGCGCGATGATTGAAACAGTATGATATTACAAGATGTATTTCTTTGATTCTTGTATCATGACTGGAGAAAGAGCTAGAACCATGTATGTTTCCATGCTCGGAGCCTCCAAAGCCACTTGGAGACTTGCGACGTTTACGTGCTAAGAATGGAATGCGCGATTGACTCGTCAAGTTATTAGTGTTCAAGTGCAGAGGAAGTCCGATCACATGGCGTTCCAGACGCTCGAAAAGAGTGAATAACACTAAATAGAGGTCTACTCATGCGTGGAGGGCTTTAGAGGACTTTAGAGGACTTTTGCTATTCGAGCGGATAGTGATAACAGGATAAGAGTAGTAAAAGCAATAAGGAAGACAACGACGACGACAACAACGAGGATAACAGTAATAGCAAAAATAATAACAGGAATAATAGTAATGGATAGTAATAACAATAACGGCGATCATAAAAACGGGGATAATCATAAAAGAAATTGTTTTTAATATAGCTTGTACGGAGTAGCCCGCCCGCACTACCCGCCGGGGTAACAAAACTCTTTTCGACATCTTGACCCATTGGCGATAGCGGACACGAACAAAAGACTTTGCATTGACACATTAGGCTGGATTGACCAGCTCGGCCTTTCATGTCACGATTTGCAGAGAAATCATCTTGATCACCATGTGTATTGAATTGAGGAGGCATAGTGACCCCGAGTGTAGGCATGTACCTTGTAGTACTAGACAAAGGAAACCCCGGCAATCTCAATCAGCGGCTATGAAAGGTTACTGATGCGGCATGGTTCTCCCGTCCTCGACCGAGTTTGCATCGGAAGACGTGGGTTTCTTTGTGGAAGCCAGCAGGACTAGAAAGTCCTTTAAGCACCACCGGTGTTGGTGATGAAGTCCAACTCGAAGTTGTCTCCACCCTTGGCCAGGACCTGGCTAGGGGCGTGTCCTCCAATAACCTCACCGCCCTCAACGTTGCCGTTGACGTGCCAGCCGGTGGCCAAGTCGAGAATCTCCCAGGCAGCCTGCTGAACTCCAGCGTTTTGGATGCTGTAGGTGACGACGTTGACAGCGCTGACGATGATGCGGATGGTAATGAGACCGAAGGTTCTGGCATAGGACTGAGCCTGGTTGACAAGGGCCTGGGTCTGAATGTGGTCGGTGTGGAGGGCGCGCTTCTGCACCTCCTTAGATCCAGTGTAGCTGCGAATGTGGTTAGCAGGCGTCATTACCATGCGCACTGGTTCACTTACGTTTCCTTGGAGACGTCACGCTCAGCAGGAGCCATGGTGGCGTCGATCTCATCGCGCTTGCCAACAGGGGCAGGGTCGGCAGGAGGCCAAGTAAGCTTCAGGCAAGCCTCGTCCTCGGGGTGGTTGACAATGCAGTGACGGCACCACTGGTTGTCGTTGCCCTGGACGCAGTTGCCCCAGCCGCCGCAGTTCTCGTACATGTACTGGCAGACAGTCTGGAGGATTCTGTTGTCAACGGCGAGCGCGCAGCAGAGTCCAGCGCGGGCCTCCAAAGGGTTGCTCAGGGCAGGAGAGACGTCGCTGACACCGGCAGCTTGAGCACCGAGGCTCAACGCCGTGATGGCGACGGAAACGATAGTAGAAATACGAGCAATCATTTTGATAGCTGAGTGAGTGAGTGAATGAATGAGTGAGTGAATGTGATTTGTATGAAAGAATGACTGTGAGATGTCTGGGTTGTTGGGTAGTCTAATATCGTTCAACGAGAGGGCAAGCCATGCATTTTATATCCCATCCGGTCTGAGTGGACTCTGGTACAAAGAGCCTCATATTTTCTCGAGTTTCCATGTCATGGAACTTACCGAGAACGAGGTTCCGAGGAGAAGCTGTTGATCTCCTCCGATCAACTCCACTCTTCCACGCCTTGCGCTGTAGTCTACTTGCGACTCTACGAACGGCTCGTACAATCTCGTGATCCCGCGTATCCCGGCGTCGGGATGTATCGTGGTAAGGGAAAGTCTAAACGGCGTAGAATAGCCTGAACTTACTGACTAGAGCATATTATACTCCGTAATTTGAGATGAACAAGCATCCCACAACTACCGCAAGTGGGTCATACTTCTAGAAGCGTTCATCAGCCTCTACAACATCAGATCATGACTGGTACAGCCTTCGCACTATTGCCTGTACTGTCACTGCTAACTTTTCTCATTGAAAGTGGACAATGAACAACGCAATGGCCTACCGTGGACTTTAAGCAGGAGTATCATGCCTGTTCTACATCATTTGTCTTGGCAAAGAAGGTGTCCAACTTCCGCTTCAGCATTCTGTTTCTGATTACACTAAGAGCGATGACTGATCTGACTATTTGTTCACATCTACTCAGTTTGGCTGGATTATCAGTAAGACTGGTAACGAAGCCCACCTAGTTCTCTAGCACACACAGAGTATGTGTTTGACAGGATACTGAGTTATCAATTTCTAGGGAAACGCTCCCTTCCGGATCTAGACGCATGCCCTTCTTACCCACCAGCAATGATAACTACTCTAGTTCTTCTAATTGACTTTCGAATCTGTTTAAGTCCTTTGGAGCGATAGCCTGTCGAATCACTTCAAAAATGTGACCTTCCTGAACTGCTTCTCCACTTGACTGGGCTAGTCTCTTTGCTGTCAGCAGAGTCTTGGCCATCCTTGTTTCCCGAGATTCAACACTTGCAAGAATTTCCGCCATTTTCCGCAATCTCTCCAATGGCGTTGCTTCGACTAATTCTGGCAGCTTATCTACCAGATATTGATACCACAAGCCACAATAGTTGACATGTTTATCACCCCGGCTGTCATCTGTTGTAGTGTTGCAGTCAATGACTGCGTCGATGGCCAGAAAACAAGTTTCTGGAACCTTTTCAGGCCTGTCTGAGGCGAGGAAAACGACTCCAGGGTGAATTGCTAGTTGTTCGTAAGTTGCACCGGAGAAAGCCGTTGAGTTCTCTACTAATAGGATACCTCCCCAGCGTAAAACATTATCAAGTGCCACATTGACATCTTTATGCGAATCAAGCGCTTGAATCATAACCAATGGCTTCATGAGATCCTCAGCAATACCTAGTCAATTAATCAGCATTATATCTGACAACAGACGATCGCTTCATCTCTGCCTGTGCGCGGGGAGGGTAAAAGAACTTACTACTAGTAATTTCTCGTGTGGTCCTTTGCGGTCCTTGGAATAATAGCATCAGCCCTGGGTAGCGAGCGGGTCGATCATGACGCTTGGATTGCCTTGTACCCTCCGCAGACATGAATTCTCTGACCATGGATCTCCACAACGTGAGGTCTTTGTCAACCATGGTGCAATGCGACAGACCTACGCTTTCATGAACGCCTCCCCAGACAGGAGCCTTCAAAAGCGATACAAAAATACCTGTGGCTTGAAAACCGGAGGTCAGAAGGAACGCAGGGGCATGGCTGCGACAGATGAGATACAGCTCCTCAGTTCTGGCGACATGGTGTTGAGCATCCTCGAGGCTGCTGTCCATCTGAAGCCTCAACGGCTCCGACTGAGATCGCCCACGATCGGGGAATTCGTCTATCCATCCCTCGATACCCAGTGTATTTTGGTAAAAGGCTTGCGAACTGAGTGCGTCAACAACAACCCTCTCTCGGATGTATCGCTATTTTTGTAAGCTACTCTGTGTTTTGATGTGAAAAAAAGTTGATAGCCCCTTAGCATTGAGTCATAGAGGCCTAGTCAGTAAGATGACGAGGAAAGTTTAACGCACCTGCCAAGACTTGCCACCAGGCGATATGGAAAATGCATCCCGCAAGTAATGAGTTGAATTTGAATGAGTAAGGAGAGCAGGGCCCTCGTACTCCCACAATGTCCAGGGCTCAGAGCAGATAGAGATGTAACGGCGTCCGATGTGGGAGAGCCTCGCAGTCAATGCTATTCGCTCTCCCTGAGGAATCATATCGAAAGGAAGCAAGCCTATGCATTCATCTCTGAGTGACCTTATACCTGAAAAGGACCTAATGTCACGCTGGGTGGTTACTAGGCATGGCCCGCAGCCGGGTCGATAGACGACATCCTGCAAGGTCAAGTGCCACGTAAAAACGCCGTCCAAAGGGCTACGAGCTTTCTCAATGCTCACTACCTTAAGACATTGTTCGTAGCTTTCATCGCAAAACGGCAATGGGCGCTTCTCGTACACTATTTGACCCCGCGGGAAGAGTGTCCATAGGAAATCGAATGATGCCTGACCGCTTTTTCGCATGCGGTCTTGCTCCAGTCGAGCATTCGAGAAGAGATCGGTGATCAAGGCAAGGAATGCCTTGAATACTTCGATGTGCCGTTCTTCAAGCTCATTTGTACCCCTTTCAAGCTCGGCAATACGACGATGAACTGATTCGTTCATGAAAAACAAAGCTGGGAATTGACTCTCGGGAATGTCGACAAAATGCGAATCACGACCCTCCCTCAAAAGGCCCAAACCCGGCACGTGGTGTTTAGACCAGAAAAACCACGCAACTGGACTACGCCGACCTATTCTTAGCCGCTCTGTTGTCTTAATTCCGGGCGAGATTGAAATAATCTCATGAACGATGTGTTCTGTAACACTCAAATGACGGTAAATTACCCGCCGCCGGGGAAGGTCGCTGTGAGGTAAACCCGTCAGCGACGTCGGGAGGTCGTCCGTTAGCCGCATGTTATAGGGGAGAATTCCGTAAGGACTGGTAGTAATGTTTTTGAGTCGGTTTTTAATGGTTCCCATCTCGTCCAGGATTGCGACAGCATCTTCCATTCAACGATTGGCACGAGATCTGGGGGGAAAAGATCACCGTGTGAGCGGCTCAGGCTCGCCGTCATTCTCAACACCCGAGGCTCATCTTTGTTACTCTTAGAGGTAAAGTTAGATACAGTAGATCGAAAGTCGGATTCAATATCGGAATTGTCTTCTGCAGGCGTGGGTATCAATGGTTCCGGATGCTGCTGCGTTTCGCTGAGAGATGATGACGGCTGTGATCGTTGCAAAATCTCTTGGAACTTATCGAAGTATGTTGATGACATTATAGTCTCGCTGGAAGTCGTAACAGACTGATTCCAAGGAATGAATTGTAGGCGATAGATATGTTAACTGAGGTGTCTTGGCGTGGGTTGATTGCGAAATACCATACGGCACGTGATGCGAGTGAGCAATTTATTCCTGGTTTGGAACGGTAACGTGTGACAAAGAGGGGTTTGCTGTAGTCTTGATTCGTCGAAATCAGCTTTCCGGTCAGCCCGGAGGGGTCAAGCACTTTGCGGGAGGTGATGTGGCAGTTTGCTTTTCATCTCAACAGTTTGCTGGTTCAAGTCTGTCGACCTTCGGGCTCTTCGCTCTTACTACCTCCCCTCGAACCAACACACAGCTTTCCATGAGCATTGCAGCAACCCTTTTCAATCGAACTCGCACCTCGGGTAAATTCAAACAGTCTAATCGCAAGAGTCATGGAGCCTGGTTCGAGTAACAGTCAACGTTTCGAGGGAAGACGGTCGGCACAACGAGAAATATTCCTGGAACAGATAAGGGCACTGCGCAGTGTCCCAGGGGGTGAATCTGCTGAAAACCCGACCGATTCAAGTCCAATAGACTCAACTACAGCCAATATCCTGTCATCTTTTGGAAGCCTTTCAACATACCAGATCGATCTTGAAAGTGAGTCGGCGCTGTTCGATCTAGAGGCTGCCAGACTTCTCGATAGCCTTGAGGCCCCCAACTTGCTTTTTGAGGACGACATTGCCATTTGGTTCCCAAGTCAAACATCGCCAGATCAGTCTTTCAGTACCCTCAATACATTTCTCAGGACTCTTATGTGCAGTTTGGCCATAAGTGCGCTCGACAATATTATGTTTTTCCGCGCTTACAAAATGAAATTCGGAGCGGACGACGCAATAATCTCATGTGCCGGCCAAAGGATCCAAGAATGTCAAATGGACATCAGCGCTTTAGGATACACAAGAATCATCCGTCCAAATTCTTACTGGGAACTGAGAAATCCTGGGAGGATGAACCTCGAATCCGCCGACAGCATATCATATTCCCGTGCGGCAGGATACCACGCGATAGTTGACTACATAACTGCCGTCGTGGCTCGGCTCCTTGCGTCCGGTTTTGAGGATGACTCTGTCCATGACCAAAAGCCCTCATGGCATATAATGACGCTAACGGTACTTGCCAAAATGTCGGCAAAAATGAAGGTACTCGGCCATCGCCTGTCGGACTTCAAAATTCAAGTTCATGGAGAGTCCACGCCAGGACATGTTCTTCAGTCACAGAGCCAACTACCTCTGGGTGCAATGCCCGCACCACCCCCGTCCTTACCATCGAGTGTTCAGCTCCCACCACACCCGCAGCCACCGGCAAGCGTACACCAACCACCTCCATCTCCCTTGTTGCCCATACCGACTTTACCATCAAGTGCTTCGCTCTCATCACTCCCACAACCTCCGCCACTCGCAAATTTCGCAGATTTCGCAGATGTTGAGGAAGTGATGTATTCCAGAGATCCAGCGCGGCTACAAACACCGCTAGCCACAGCGAAGAGCTTGTCATCGGAGTCTCTAGATACAATATCTTCTTCTGAATTATCGGAAGAATCGGATATGACGTCGGATTCTGAAGGACGTTCGCAAAAATTGCCAGGAGCCTTTCTCCCCAAAGAGCGCAGATCACGTAAGAACAACTATCTTTTCGACATGTATGAAATCTCAACAATGCTATTTCATATCATGTGGCATGTCCTATCAGAACTGGAAACGAGGAGTATCAGTGGACAAAAGACAAGTGATCTCGACATTTCGGTCATAGTATATGCCACCGGAACCCAGAAAACCTCAGCAATGTTGTACCAGAAAGCTGGGCATGAAGTCGCAGGTTCGCAAACTGGCGTGTCTCTGGGTGTGTGTCGCCGTATGTTCGACACTCTTGGTGAGACCGCACGTGCCGTTCAGTCAAGACCGAATGTTGGTGAAGACGAGCACCTTCATCTATGTTCAGACCCTATGCGACCTCGGCTGAGATTCAGCATGAACAACAAATCTGGACGGGATTCTGCGGCCGGAATAGCTTTGGCTGTCAGATCAATACCAGAGTTTGTCAGCATCATGATTCCTCTCTCTTGTATGAATCCAAGCGTGGCTGACAGGGTCTTCCGAGCGTGCTCAAAGGTGGGGGCTTCGGATATCATACGGGGACTGCATGCCGCAGGACAAGATTTCACGGCCACAATCAGCCTATGCAGCGTTATCGAGGCATATAACATTGACTCGACCTCCCGTAGAGCGCAAAGCAGCCCTCTATCTCAGGCTCGTTTCTACCTCAGGCAGAACTGTGCCGAATTCACTCCAGAAACAGCGGCACAACGCCAAGCCCCACGCTGGCTGCAAAATATGCACTCTTTGAGGGCAACATACCGTCAGCTGTCTCAACCTCATTGCCACCAGAATTCTGATGCAACTCGCGAGTGGGCCATTGAAGGGACGGCCGTAACCGTCAGGTGTTTGAACTATACTCTTCCTGTAATGGTCGGCTGTGGGGCCCTGGTGACTGGAGGGATACTTGCTGGATTTCTTGTTGGAGAACGAATTGCCGGAGTTGATCCGTTCAATCTCACAATGTTTTGTTGGATTATTGCTGGATTTATTATTCTCGTTGCCAAAAGTATTCGTGTCGTTAATTGGCCGTGGCGTGACTTTCTACTCGGACGGGTCACCACTCGAAGCGTGAGCGAGCTAGCAAGTGTAACCGGACTGGATGAGCAGTTCATCATCTTCTATCTTCTTTCACGAGAAGGGTCGTTGCCTCTCACCATTAGAGGCCCGTTCAACAGTGTATTTGCCCGGGCCGGAGAAGGGGATAGTGGGTTCTCCATAGATGTCCAGCCTACGGTGCGAACGCTGTTTGCTAGCGGGATGGTTGTGCTCGAGGTCCTTTCTTCTGGCGGCCCCGCACTAGTATGTATGGACTTGCGGCCAGAGATGAATCGATTTCGCCCGGGCTATTTGAGGAAGATGGTGAACTCGCAGAACAAAAGGGTGTCGGTACTTGCATGCGTTGAGCCACCGAGGGGAGACGAGGATAACAAGAACATAATTTTCAGATATCAACGGATTCGTTGGGAAAAGGTGGTTGGCGTTTGCAATGACGAGGACGGTCGAGTTGGATGAAGTTACCTAAGTTGGCAGCCCACTGATGTCTCGTTTTACCAAACCATATCAAGACATTGCAACCTCAAAGACAAGAATCAAGCTTTATGTAGCACTATGGCAACGTCTGGGAGACGGTGAGGGTGAAGAAGCCTGGTGGGTTTCCATGAGTGACAATAACCCGGTAGACCATAGAAAAAATACGATATCTCGCCTTCGACCCTACGTCCCATTTCGTGGTCTCGTTGCTGCATGTATCAACCGTGTAAGCTAACCAAACCCTACGTTGTGCAATTTATGTATTGTGGTCTGTTGACGTTGTACATGTAGCACCCTCTGTGTCCAGACAACTAAAAATGTGATAATTTACCTCGTGTGCTTCTTATGTAACCTATCTCGCCGGTATTAGAAGGGAGAATGTTGTGAAAGTCACTTTTATGTTGCTACAAAACCGAGCTTCTGTTGCCCATTGAGAGTTGCTCCACGGGTTGCTTCGAACGATGGTCCTGAATCCCCCCCACACCCCCCTCCTTCACCATGTGACGGACACTATCAATCTTTCGCAACCATTACATGCAAGGGCATAACCGGAGCTGAATAGCATGAACACTCAGACAAATGACAACCGTTACTTTCTCAATATGCAACCCATTCAGGCGCATACCTAATCCAGAAGAACTTAAGACAACAAACAAAGCGAGAAACATATACAATTGCTACCCTAACTTTGGACTAAAATTTTAATAAACTAGGTAGAACTAAACGCAGCCCTAGAGTCAGCACTGCGGCCAATTTCCTCCGCAATCTCATAACAAAAAGCTGCGTGATATGCAAGACGAACTGATATGAAGAGTGTTGTCAAGCCTTTGAAAAGCTCAACATCAAACAGCTGGCTCATCTGGTCCTATATGAAGTCCAGTGTTGGTATGCAAGTGAACCGTAATTCTCGAATACATACGTCTTTCATGAGCGGAGAATTGCATCCGCGGGAATAAGCGGAGGTAGGAAGGACTAAACCTCAATGCACAGTTCCCTTCGTGTCGAAACCCCTCCTGAGGGACAATGCGGTGTGACGTGTCGCGGATAAGGATACGCTGTAGAGGCAGCCAATTCCCACGAAAACCGTCTTTCATAGTGAAACCAGCACAAATGGATTCCGTTCCTCCGCCCGAAAGTGCATTAGGTTCACGGCCGACCCTTCCTCCGCATCGCCGGCGGGACAAGAAGCAGCTGTCTTGCGGCTTGTGTCGGCAAAGAGAGTAGAGTGCCTGATATGTCGGTGTTTTCATTTTAAAGACTCGCGCGCTGATGAGTTCAAAGATTACGACGTGACAGGTGCCAACAGTGTGGCACATGCATCGTTCGAGGCCTTGGCCCGTCATGCTCATATCCAAACGATTTGAGAAGTTCGATGGCTCCGGCTCTTACCCGGGCCTAGCCTCAGCCTAATGTAGCCAGTCTCGAAGACAGACTGAAGCGCGTGGAAATCTAGTGCTTGCAATGATGAAGCCTTACCGTGTGCAACAAGATGATAATGCCGGACTACCCGCCCAGCAACCCGCTGTCACCGGCCCAGTCGGGAGCGTCTGTCGAGCCGGGCACGACGCATATCAGCTCACAGGGAACTACATCTTTTGCAAGTCCGCACTGGGAAGCTATTATGGATGAAATCTCAGATCTCAAAGATCAATTCAGGCGAACAGACGGAAGCCGGACCTCGATTGAGCCCACGGACTCTCATTCGCCTGACAGAAAGACATCCAATTACCCCCCACTGTTGCCGTACGGATCTATGCAACCACTGTCGAAGGAGGATTTGACATCGGCCTTGCCAGAACGAAGTGTAACAAACCCTTTCATATTTCAGTATTTTAATGGAATCTCGATCCTTCCTGGTAGGTCTCTCGTGTGGGACCTGGTTTGATCTGACCGCTCATACTCATGTAGCGCGGGTGGCCCACCCTTCTAGATTCCTTGAGCAGGTTCGTTATGTGTCGTTGCAATTCGCACTGCACTTTCATTGCTGATCGAATGATTCTACAGTACGAAGACTTTTGGTCCAATCCATCGGCAGTCTCCTTGTCATGGTTGGGTCTCTTATACGGAGGAGTACTGAGTCTTTCTCACTTTTTCTCCTCGGACCCTGGTCACAGAGGATCTCAACCACAGCCAAAGTACTTAAAACGCCTGATTCAATGCCTTGTCGCTGCAGACTATGTTCATGGAGGTCCCTGCATCCTCGAATGCCTGATTCACTACTGCCTTATGGAGTTCTACTTCAACCCCGTGACGGAGGTCGGCCACTGGATGGTGGCTGGTATGATGGCTCAGCTCGCATTCCGCATGGGCTAACCATCGGGACCCATCCCACTTTCCTCGTATTAGCGCTTTTGAAGGCGAGATGCGTTGCAGAGTCTGGGCTACCGTACATATTCTCGATAGCACGATGGCCATGCTCATCGGCGCGCCGAGAATCATCTCAGATGGGACGTGGAACACGAGACCGCCTGGCAACATTTCGGACGCCGATCTCCATCAAGACTGCATTAAACTGCCAGAGTCCCGGACCGACAGCGAAGTCACTGAAGTCTTGTTTCTGCTGGCAAGATACAAGATGAGCCTTGCTTTGGGGAGGCTAGTTGATCTTAGCTTGACGAATGACCTAGAATCGCCAGAAGACGTGAACAGCGCCGAAGCTCGTCTCAAGGAACCCTACGAGTTGATACCCGAAAAGTTCAAGTTCACCTCACTCGTCCATTGCTTGTCAGATAAGCCGGTCAGTGTGGCGCACCGGATCATCATTACCTGTCTTTACAAGGAATCTCGTATCATCCTATTTCAACGCCAACTTCGGAAGGTTGCCAGCAAAAGCTCAGCAGGAAGTGATTCGCGTGAAGATCACGAAGATTGGAGGTCAACGGCCCGATGCAAATGCATAGAAGCAGCCCTTGAGATTATCAAGCATTTGGTCTTCTTAGATACAGAATCACAACCGGACGGCACCTTGACCGCATTAAGAAGCAAAGTATCTGCTCTACTGGTTCACGAGTGCCTTGTCGCAACCGCAGCCTTGAGCACATATCTGTACCGTTGGTCGGAGGCACCACCAATTGACGAGAGCGGGGGCGCAGTTAGCAAGCCAGAAATTGAGGCTATGTTGAGGAGAAGCTACGAAACATGGTCTAAATGGAGCAATTGGTCTGCTGAAGCGCAACGGGCGGTAGAGCTGTTGGATTTGCTATTCAAGAAGTTGGGAGGCAACAACTCCGACATTGGAATCAACGAAGCAGCACTTCCAATGGACGAAATGGAGCTGGGTCTTGACTGGGACGCGGACACATTAGGAATATTCTTCCCTCTGTTAGATGAACCATCTATATAGCTGGTGGCGATCCTACGTCGATCTCAAATTGTTTGTGGACCATTCGACCTGCCTTTCCACGTCCATTTATACTCATTATGCGTGTTCTGAATGAGATGGATGCCCGGTTCCCACAATTGCATCTTTTTAGTGATAGAAAAGGCAACGTTTGGTGCTATAAAAAAGTCAGTGATTCATTTCCACAATATTTAGACATATACTTACCCTCCAGACAGCCGTGGAAAGCATTCTCCAGATAGAAGGCTTCTACGCTTTCCCCATCCTTCCCCTTATCCTCACGCTCCTTTTTAATCCTCTCGACGAAGGTCAACTGCTCATGAACAGTGATATCAATCGCAGCCACCACAAACAGCATCCTCTCCGGCAATGTCTCCTCACTTGCAAGGTAGGGGCTCATCCTCGCGTTATCCCAGTTCTCCGCCTTGGCAGGTGCCGCATACGAATCATACAGAGGCAACATGAAAGCTAGCGGGTCCGTCGAGGGGAAATTCGCAGGGCGAGGCTTCTCCTCCGGCTTCGGGCGCAAGTCTATCGGTGCGTAGAATGTCACCGCCGCTCGAATTGCAAACTCCTCAGACGAGATGCTCTGGCTGGCTGCTAGGACAAGGTTCCCGCCCGCAGACGCCCCTGAGACCGTCATAAGTCTCGGGTCCGCACCTAGCTCTTCTTCCGCATGCTCCCTCAGCCACGCAAGCGCGGCGTCAACGTCGTCAATAGCGGCCGGAAAGGGATGAACCGGCGCGAGACGATAGCTCAGACTCACGACAACAGCACCCGTCTCCTTCGCAACCAGGGAGCAGAAGGGCGCATCAGCCTCCGGGATGCCGCCCACGAAGCCGCCGGGGTGGCAGTCCACGTGAAGTGGGCGAAGGCCATTGCGACCCGACCCGGTTCCGGGCTCTTTGAAGACGATGACGCGAAGGGATCGGTCACTCGTGATAGGGATATAGCGGATCTTGTAGGGACGTCGAAATAGGTAGGGCGCTAGTGCGAGGGATTGCGTGAGGAAGATGATGGGTTCCAAGGCTAGGAGGCGCCAGCGCAGGGACCAAGGGAGGTGTCGGCCAAAGAAGAGGGCGTCTAGGGCGGGCCTGAAGTGGGCGACGGCGATGTCTTTGATTGCGCGGAACATTGTTCGTCATGGAATCGTGGGCTCACGGTATCACCGCGAAATGAGGTGTTAGATCCATTTGCTCGGGATGTGGGAATACGGAGAGTAATGAGGGAACTTTGTCTACACTGTCATCGTATTGGAAGTCGTACAAAGCATCATTTCCTGAACTCTGAGTGGCTCTGGAGAGTGTAAGGCGGCGTAATCTGAGACCGAACATTAGAGAGGGATGACCCAGGCTGACAGGCTGATTGCTTTGCGGAGTGCCACGCGACAGCGATGATGCACAGCGACCCGCAGCCTGCATCGAAACATTTTCTGGGGAATACCGGAAAGATGGGGGGATGGGGAGGGTTCAATTAGGTCATGGGGAACCGATGGGTAACAGTGAAAACAGAGTTCGGTTGAAAGAGAAAGATCGACATCGACGGGGCCCAGTGTGATGGGCCGGCCGGCCAGTCGGTACGACATCCGGGATGGGGACGGGATCACGCAATCCGCAAATTGTTCGACGTCTTGAGGCTCATTCGACTTGGCCCAACTTCATGGAACAATCGTTGTGGGTGGTTATTCACACAAGGGTAGAGTCGTTTCCAAGAATCAAGGAAACAAACATTGAGTCAAGATTGGGGCTTAGTAGCTGAGGGATGCCACGCGTTTTAGACATTTGAGGAATTTGGGGATGACACCAGGCTGGCGGGATAAGCATATAGCGCTGCCCGTGAGACATAACATTAACGCCTGACGAATGCCTCAGCCTCTATGTCTCGTCTCAGATCGCGAGCCCACGCGCATCATTTATCCTCAAGATCTGACATCAGAGACATGCCTGCCGGAGGCTGTCGACTTTCTGACTTTGAGATTCTTCCTGGGTCACAATAGCCTTATCAAGCAAGCAGGACATGAATCCAAATGGACAGTGCCAGTAATGCTAGGTGAATTAGACTTAATTATTACATGAATGTGAATATCGTAACAGTGGAAGCCTAAACGAAGCCAAAGTGGTCAAGTCTGGCTTTCCATCAAGTCATGAACATTTTCTTTTCCATCGTAAAGACGCTCAACCAAAATCTTGTCAAGTGGATTGTATGCATGATCAAGTCTGTTTGAATTCGTGATCGAGGGGGTTTGAATGCTGTACACACTTATTGACCCAAGGGTGATGAAGACGGCGGTCCTCCAATCCAAGCCCATCCAGACTTTGTCGCCGCCTCATATCCCCTTCCCGTCTCTAGCAGCGGGCCTCGAAGAGAAAACGAACAGCCTTTCTCATTCTGTCAAACCCAAACCATACTTTTCGAGCGAGATGTTTACAAGTCTGTAGAATGTCAGCATACCGTCCCCTCGGAACTCATGACGGGTACTAGGACTCACCCTCGCAGTAGTCGGCAGTGGTGGTGACGGTGACGGTGGGGCGGGGAGCTGTGCTGGTGACGGCGGTGATGCCCCAGCAAGAGCAGGCGGAGGAGTACTCGGCAGCGTCGTCGCAAGAGGAGGCGTAGGCGGGGATGACGGTAGGGTAGGCGGTGACCTGGCGGTTGACGATCTCACCGTTGCGGCGGAGGCGGGCGGGGGCGGTGACGGTGACGGTGACGGTGCTATGAGATCCGTGTTAGTCCCGAGAACACCTGAGGTCTTGGGTATACCGTAGAACATACGTAGGGGAGGGGGTAACGGTGGCCTGCATGAAGGAAGAGCAGTCGGCCTTGCGGGAGGTGATGGGGAGGAGGCCGTCACGGGTGCCGGTGACCTGGCGGTTGCAGTTGTTGCCGGAGCACTCGCGCTTCTCGATGGCCGAGCCGAAGGCAAGGGCGGCGAGGGAGAGGATGACGGCGGCCTTCATTCTGACGGTGGGTTCAGACGATCGACTGAGGTCCTAAGAGATTTGTGGATGGGGTGATTGGATGGAAATCTGGTAGGAAGTCGGTGATGGAGAGGAAAGGGGAAAGGGAGGGAGAGCAATGGGTTACATGGAGGCGAAGGCACCGTGATATATACCATCAGCCCCCAGTCCTCTCAAGATGGGGGTGGGCTGGGGCCGAGGGGGTGGATGTTGGTGGTGGTGGTGGTGGCCATGCTGTGCCTTGGACTGCCTACACTACGTGCGGATAGATAGACATGCAGACTAAGGTGAAGGTGAGTGAACCAGAAGCAAGCAACGACGGTCCGGTATGCAGCAGTCAATACGAACCGCAGCAACCAGACGGAAGAAGAGTGGAAGCGGAGCCCATCCGCCCATCTGGGCGGAGGCGATGGGAAAGGCGGGTCATTGACCGGGCCTCTGGACAAACGGACAAGGGGGGGGGGGGGGGGGGGGGGGTAGTGGATGGCAGGCGAGAAACAACATCGTGGGTGAGGATAAAGGATAAACACATATTGACGAAGCTAGGCTCCCCGGTGCGGTAACACCCTGTACCTGAGCGTGGGCAAGGGTGCCAGGGGTTGGAGAGGGGAAGAGCAGCGAGGGACGACGAACGCCTTGGTTCCAACCCGTTCAGCTCATCTTTTGCGTGGTGTGGCATTTCCCACCTATCAGCGGGCGCAGCATCCGCATGAGGCAGGTTGGGAGAGCATGTGGACGACGGCGGCGAACCGCAGGAACAAGTTGACGCAGCTCAGCGCAAGCGTATCCGAAGGACGACTTTGGGGTTGGGTTTGGTCCGAGACACAGAGATGGGGAGGAGAAGGTACCGTTTGGCTGACTGGCGCGGTCGGGGGTGACATTGTCTTCCCTGGTCTTCTCTGCCCTGACATTCCAACGTGCGTCCCTTCTCTGGTTCTCAACCCTGGGCTGTCGAGGGAAGGCCTAGGACTGGTTTTCCATGCTAGCCAACGCTATCACGGCGGGGGAGGCCGTCCAATGCGGCCTAGCCTTGAATCGGAAGTCGGGGGTTCCCAAATGGCCTTGCCCGGGGTCACCGTTGTTTGCTGGTTGTAATAAGAGACATTCTGGTTCAGCAGTGGAAGAAGCTGGATGCAAGGGAGGCACGGAGAGCAAACATTGGCAACGGTGCCTTCATGGCTACCATATTAATCACTATTGAAATCTGCGTAACGCGCCGCTTGACTGGTGGCTTCTTTTCGTGTTACACATGGAAAAAGCAATTGAAGAGTCTTTGGCGTCATTGAGTTCCGCGTGTTGTCATGGACTCTGTCTTTCGTGTCTTTGATTCGGGTAACGGGAGCTGTCAGGTGCGAAGGCGATTGGCAGAGAGACGCCAAGGCGCAACGGCACGGAAAGGCCATCCGTTGGAGGCACGAGCTTTACCATGGGCTGGATAAACAAAGATGACCACGGGCAAGGCTTGGCTGCTGGGATCGATGGATATGGGAGGATAAGAACGGTGAAGGGGATGAGATAGCCCAGATGCCTGGGTCTGCGGAAGAAACTCAACTCCAAGCACACTCATGCTGTGATGTGTAGATCCGAGATGCCCTCGCCCTCCAAAGCAGCTCGAATTCTCCGTAGGATTGGAAGAGAAGTCTCGGCTGAACATCCAAATAGCTGCCGGCGACTTGCCGCACATTCCCCTCTCCTCAGTCGATCTGGCGGACTGTCATAGACTATAGTTGCGATATTTCCACCGACAGACGCCAGCGTCACATCGCGAGAGCCGCGGGGGAGACTGGCCTGCATAAGGAAATGAGGAGAAGCGAAATTCAGACAGGCGGGCTTTCTGCGGGCAGGGACATGGGAGAAGCAGCAGCTCGCCGGTCGGTGATGAAAAGGCACAAAGGTTTGAAATCGAAGAGGCGAAGAAGAAAAGCCTGAATGAGAATAGGAATCATTAGTGTGAGGGACACCGCCAATGGGGTTGCGTCGCCTAATGGCCCGCGCCGCCGACCTGCATTGGCCATGATGCTGTCGGCGATGATCCGATGAGCGCTG